CTTCTTTGATTACTCAGTTCTCAGTCTTAGAGGCGGTAGGGGACAGATGCAGAATTGGATCGATGCTGCATCCACCTAGGTGAGAATGTAGGTTTGTTTTTTTCAAAATCCACACAGACTTTGCATGTGATTTGCACAGTAATATGGTGTGATTCCTGTGCTAATTACATGCGATGTCCAGCACCGCACAAGTGTAAACCTAGACTTGGTAAGTGAAAGTGGTAGTAAAGTAGTATTGCTTATGTTCTACCTACAGGCAATCCTATAATAAGGCTTACCTCTAGGTACTGTAAGTGATATATATATATATATATATATATATATATATATAAAATATTGCCAAAAGTATTGGGACACCCCTCCAAATCATTGGATTCAGGTGTTCCAATCACCGCCATGGCCACAGGTATATAAATTCAAGCACCTAGGCATGCAGACTGCTTCTACAAACATTTGTGAAAGAATGGGTCGCTCTCAGGAGCTCAGTGAATTCAATTGTGGTACCGTGATAAGTTGCCACCTGTGCAATAAGTCCATCCATGAAATTTCCTTGCTACAAAATATTCCACGGTCAACTGCTAGTGGTAATAAAACAAAGTGAAAGCAACTTGGAACAACAGCAACTCAACCACGAAGTGGTAGGCCATGTAAAATGACAGAGAGGGGTCAGCGCATGCTGAACAGCACCGTGCGCAGAAGTTGCCAACTGTCTTCAAAGTCAATAGCTAAAGACTTCAAAACTTCGTGTTGCCTTCAGATTAGCACAACAGTGCATAGAGAGCTTCATAGAATGGGTTTCCATGGCCGAGCAGCTGCATCCAAGCCTTACATTACCAAGTGCAATGCTAAGCATTGGATACAGGGGTGTAAAGCATGCCGCCACTGGACTCTAGAGCAGTGGAGACGTGCTCTCTGGAGTGACAAATCATGCTTCTCTGTCTGGAAATCCGTTGGATGTTTCTGGGTTTGGTGGTTGCTAGGAGAATGGTACTTGCTTGACTGCATTGTGCCAAGTGTAAAGTTTGGTGGATGGGGGATTATGGTGTGGGCAAGTTTTTCAGGGGTTGGGCTTGGCCCCTTAGTTCCAGTGAAGGGAAATTTTAAGGAGTCAGCATACCAAGACATTTTGGACAATTTCATGCTCCCAACTTTGTGGGAACAGATTGGGGATGGCTCCTTCCTGTTCCAACATACTGCGCATCAGTGCACAAAGCAAGGTCCATAAAGACATGGATGAGCAATTCTGGGGTGGAGGAACTTGACTGGCCTGCACAGAGTCCTGACCTCAACCCGATAGAACACCTTTGGGATGAATTAGAGCAGAGACTGCGAGCCAGGCCTTCTCATCTGACATCAGTGCCTGACCTCACAGATGCGCTTCTGAAATAACGGTCAAACTTTCCCATAGACACACTCCTAATCCTTGTAGACATCCTTCCCAGAAGTGTTGAAGCTGTTATAGCTGCAAAGTGTGGGCAAACTCAATACTGAACCCTACGGAATAAGACTGGGATGTTATTAAAGTTCATGTGCGTGTAAAGACAGGTGTCCCAATACTTTTGGCAATATAGTGTATATTTACTTGTGTAGCAGCCGGTGACATCAATGGCGCATGCGTTTCTTCAGAGCCGTGGCAATGACTCCTGCACAAGGTGAAGATGAAAGCCCTGTCAGCAGTGACAGCACCGCTGGCGGGCTTCATTTTTAGGTAAGTTTCACATAATGTGCTAGTATGTCGCGTATATTAGCACATTATACAATTTCCTTGCCGGGGTAATTTTTTTTCTTTTGCTCAGTTTACTATCGCTTTAAGTGATTCAGTACCTTAGAATGCACCTAGAATTAGAGTGGACTAACAAATTAAATTAATGGGGCTATATTTTGCGGGTCATTCATTTTTGACATTGTGGCCTCCACTCTAAATAATACTGCATTGAATATCTATATGCACTATCAAACCAATTATATGGGCAAATTCTTTACATTCCCACATAATGCAGAAGAATGGCTAACACAAAGCTGTCTCTTAAAATCGAAATTCTGCTATTTTCACTATTATTTTGGTGTTCCTTTATTTAGATGAATTTCTGAAGACATGCCAAAAAACAGAAGCAGACAAATACAGTCTTTAAAAAAAAATGAAATTTTTCCTTTCAAGAAAGCCAAAACCTTCAGCCAACTCTGACATTGCTTGGATGACAGTTTTCCACAAAGTGAAAAACAACTTACAATCTGTGCGCAGTAAAATAAAATATTGTTTTGAAAAAAAAGTAGGAAAGAATAATTGCCTTCTAACTTTTACAATTTCTAAAAAAGAATTCATCAATCTGCTTTTTTTTTATTTACACATACAGCAAATCTACACCTATATTTCTTAATGCCATCCCTCCCCCCTTAAAAAAATGTCAAAGCATTACTGACCCTCTCTATGCTCCATTGCTGCCCTCTATGTTCCCGTGCTCCACCTCTTGACTTTCAGTTTGAGTAACATCCAGAACGTCCCATTTGTCTCTTACATAATATGCTCCAGCTCAAAGGCCAATCTCTATGTTTTTGTGTCTTTCTCCTCTGCCCCTAACAGAACGCTAAGACATAAGTATCACTGAGACTGAAAAAAGATACAGAATTTCTCAACATGTATTGACCACTGTTCCCATACTGAGGGTCACTGAAAGACACAAGAGGGCCTAAGGCCAAGGAACATTCAGATGGACCCCAGCCACCTTTGTAAAGCAAATCATAACGTTAACATTTTACACTCGATTCCCTATGCTTGCTATGGGGGCAGTCAGTGGGGGAGGAGCCAACAGGGGACCCAAGAAGAGGATGGTTGGGGCTGCTTTGTGCAAAACCATTGCACAGAGCTGGCAAGTATAACATGTTTGCTATTTAACCACTTCACAATGATGGCTACAGAGTGATTGTCCAGTTCTGGGAGGGCATCATATGACGTCCTCCCAGAACACGCCCTCCCGCATGCCCCCAGCGGCGCGCACCTGGAGCTATTCGTGATCGCTGTGTCCTACAGGTACAACTGATCACATGATAAGGTAAAAGGCCAATCACAGTGGCCTTTTACCACATGATCAGCTGTGTCCAGTGACACAGCAGATCACAGAGTAAATACAGTTGCCTCACAGCATGAGGAAAGTACTGCTGATAACCAGCAAATGTCACAGAGGACATTTGCACTGATCATCAGGGCACTGATAATCAGTGCCCTGATGATCAGTTCCCAGTAGTGCCACCCACCAGTGCCCAGCAGTGCCTTCCACTAGTGCCCAGAAGTGCCACCCATCACTGTCCAGCAGTGCCAGCCAGAACTGCTGCCCATCAGTGCCCAGCAGTGCTGTGCCGCCAGTCAGTGCCATCTTTCTGTGCCCACGAGTGCCACTTATCAGTGCCGCCTATCAGTGCCCATCATTGTTGCATATCAGTGCAGCATCATCAGTGTCTCCTCATCAATGTCCACTAGTGCCGCCTCATCAGTGCCACCTCATCAGTGCTGCCTATCCATGCCACCTCATCAGTGCTTATCAGTGCTGCCTATCAGTGCCCATCAGTGCTGCCTATCAGTGCAGCCTCATCAACGCACATCAGTGAAGGAGAAAAATTACCTGTTTGCAAAATTTTCTAATAGAAACAAAGAAAAACGTTTTTTTTCACATTTTTTGCTCTTTTTGTTGTTTATAGTGCAAAAAATAAATACCGAGTGGGGATTAAATACCACCAAATGAAAGCTCCATCTGTGTGAAAACAATTATAAAAATTTCATGACTGCGCAATTGTCATTCAAAGTGTGAGAGCGCTGAAAGCTGAAAATTGGCCTGGGTACAAAGAGGGTAAAAGTACCCCTTAGGCAAATAGGTAATAATATAAAAATCTTGCCTTTACGAACCCGCTAACTGTACGCTGCTAGCATTAGTAAATAGATAAGAAAGTATATAAAATGTACTTGCTTTAAACTTTTATTTACATTTCTTCAGTTATTTCCTGGTTTCCAGGCCTCATAAAATCTTGTCATACATCCCAGGAATCAGAAGGAGGGATTTTCTTAGCTAAGCACATCCTCCAGCATGCATGCCTGAGCTAAGGGCAAATTCATTCCAGGAAGTAAATACTACATACAGTACATCATTTGCCTTTACATAAGATGGACACAGCGAGAGGGTGTTTTTCAAAGTGATTTCCCAGCAAAATTAAGGATGGATGGGGGAGTTTTTTGAATAATAAAATTAATTAAATAGCGTTTTCGGTTTGTGGTGTTCAGATGCCATGAAGTTCCACTTTAATGATGGCATCTATAGAGGACAGAGCTAATAATACAGCATCCTTACTATGAATTCTGAGTACAAATAAAAAATGGTAGTTAAAAGCATCTATTTTTACAGACAATTTACCTTTTTGCTGTTTGTTTCAGGTCCTAAAGAATCTTTATTTAATTTTTGGCATTAACTTCATGTATATCCTGGAAAGCCCAATATTACATATTGTGTGGTTACTTTTCCTGGACAGAAATGAGTGCCTTAGACTGTCCGTAACTGACTTGTCTGGGGTCTTGGGAGAGCGTGTGTTATATATTGAGCATGACATCTCCATCATGTTCCATTAATTCTCTTGTAGAGTGAGAATCCTCAGCTGTCTACACATCTGAGAGGCACTTACCCAGATCATGACATGTTTATTATTAAAATAACTCACCAAGCCAACACTGTCCATTATCTATGGCACAATAATTTATGTATGTATAATGCCTGGATATCATATGGTTGCTTATCTGTGACATTTGGATAGTGTTTCATAACATTTACAAAATGGAGGAAAAAATATATACCGTATTTTTTTACTCCATAAGATGCACTTTTATCCCCCCAAAAAATGGGGGGAAATGTCTGTGCATCTTTTGGAACAAATATGGAGCAGCCAGCTCAGTATTCCCCCCTATCACCGCCGTGTTAAAATACCTGGCCGGTAGCTCAGTTCTTCTGTGCAGCAGAACCTGCTCCTTGGTCCTACCTGTTCCTCGGTCCAGCAGTGTCCTCATCACCTCATCATCTTTAGTGTGGGCACCCAGCTGTGACAGCTTGCGGCTTCACAGCCTGATGCCCAATGCACATGCATGAGAAGCGCTGCGCTTTGTGAATGGCCCCGTAGTCTTCTGGGACCTGTCACATGTCCCAGAAGACTACGGGGAGAGAGGTGATTGCAGCGGAAGTGGGAGCGGGTGAAAAGGATTTTTCTTTATCGACCACTGCCAGGTTTAGGCCCCGTTGGATCCATGAGGCTGCTCTCTGGGAGAAAGAAAATACACATGCACGCCAGGTCTTCCAGAGAGCAATCTGATTTTTTATTCACAATTTCCTCCTTATATACAGTGAGTTGTAACAGGAGAACATGGAATGGAATTTCACTGAGTAATTTGTTAAGGCTATGTACGTGACATCTGTAACAATTCATATCGCACAGATCTTGAATCAATTACAATTCATATCGCACAGAACTTGAATCAATTACAAGAAACCAACGGTATTTTCCCTTAACCGCTTGCCGCCCTGCCACTGTGTATATACGTGTGCAGGGCGGCAGTGGAGCGCAAAACCACGTTTAAAAACGGGTTCCGCGCTCCCGACACTTTCGCCGGCAGGGGGCGCGCGCGCGCACTTCCGCCGACCCGCGGGTGACACTATTTGATCCAGGAGGGATCAATCATTAGATTTCAGCCAGTGATTTCTGGCTGAAATCACATGATCGGTCCCTGTCCTATCCTGTCCTGTGTTGACATACACACAGGGCAGGATATGATGTCATTCTTCTCTGCCTGGACACATTCCGTTCCAGACAGAGAAGAAGACATCCAAAAAGTGAGTACACAAGCACTACACTACAGTTAGAACACTCTAGGACACATTTAACCCCCTGATCGCCCCCCCCCTCCAGTTAACCCTTCACTGCCCTGTCACCAGTGTTACTGATCAGTGAAGTGATTTTTACTGATCAGTGTCGCTGGCGACTTCCGATAGAGTTAGCGCCCCTCCCAGATAGCGCCAGATTGCCCACCAGTACACCAGTAATCCCGTTTAACCCCTTGATCGCCCCCCCCCTCCAGTTAACCCCTTCACTGCCCTGTCACCCAGTGTCACTGATCAGTGAACCAATTTTTACTGATCACTGTATCAGTGTCGCTGGCAACTTCCGATAGAGTTAGCGCCCCTCCCAGATAGCGCCAGTTTGCCCGCCAGTACATGAGTAATCCCGTTTAACCCTTTGATCGCCCCCCCCCCCCCCTCCAGTTAACCCCTTCACTGCCCTGTCACCCAGTGTCACTGATCAGTGAACCAATTTTTACAGATCACTGTATCAGTGTCGCTGGCGACTTCCGATAGAGTTAGCGCCCCTCCCAGATAGCGCCAGATTGCCCGCCAGTACACCAGTAATCCCGTTTAACCCCTTGATCGCCCCCCCCCAGTTAACCCCTTCACTGCCCTGTCACCAGTGTCACTGATCAGTGAACCAATTTTTACTGATCACTGTATCAGTGTCGCTGGCGACTTCCGATAGTGTTAGCGCCCCTCCCAGATAGGGCCAGTTTGCCCGCCAGTACACCAGTAATCCCGTTTAACCCCTTGATCACCCCCCCCCCCAGTTAACCCCTTCACTGCCCTGTCACCAGTGTCCCTGATCAGTGAACCAATTTTTACTGATCACTGTATCAGTGTCGCTGGCGACTTCCGATAGTGTTAGCGCCCCTCCCAGATAGTGCCAGATTGCCCGCTAGTACACCAGTAATACCATTTAACCCCTTAATCTCCCCCCCCCCCCCAGTTAACCCTTCACTGCCCTGTCACCAGTGTCACTGATCAGTGAACCGATTTTTACTGATCACTGTATCAGTGTCGCTGGCGACTTCCGATAGTGTTAGCGCCCCTCGCAGATAGCGCCAGATTGCCCGCCAGTACACCAGTAATCCCGTTTAACCCCTTGATCACCCCCCCCTCCAGTTAACCCCTTCACTGCCCTGTCACCAGTGTCACTGATCAGTGAACCGATTTTTACTGATCACTGTATCTGTGTCGCTGGCGACTTCCGATAGTGTTAGCGCCCCTCCCAGATAGCGCCAGTTTGCCCGCTAGTGCACCAGAAATCCCATTTAACCCCTTGATCGCCCCCCTCCCCCCCCAGTTAACCCCTTCACTGCCCTGTCACCAGTGTCATTGATTACAGTGAACAGATTTTTACTGATCACTGTATTAGTGTCACTGGTGACTTCCGATAGTGTTAGCGCCCCTCCTAGATAGCGCCAGTTTGCCCGCTAATGCACGGGATTTTTTTTTACCAAAAACATGTAGCAGAATACATTTTGGCTTAAATTTATGACTAACTTTGAGTTTACGATATATTTTTTATAGCTGAAAGTAGAAAATATTGTTTTTTTTTCAAAATTTTTGTGGTTTTTTTTGTTTATAGCGCAAAAAAAATAAAAAGCACACAGGTGATCAAATACCACCAAAAGAAAGCTCTATTTTGTGTGAAAAAAAGGACGTAATTTTCGTTTGGGTGCAGCATTGCATGACCGCGCAATTATCATTTGAGTTAGTGCAGCGCTGTATAGCAAAAAAAGGCATAAATTACAGTATCTATACCATAGTTTGTAGACGCTATAACTTTCGCACAAAGCAATCAATATACACTTATTGGGATTTTTTTTACCAAAAACATGTAGCAGAATACATTTTGGCTTAAATTTATGACTAACTTTGAGTTTACAATATATTTTTTATAGCTGAAAGTAGAAAATATTGTTTTTTTTCAAAATTTTCGTGGTTTTTTTTTGTTTATAGCGCAAAAAATAAAAAGCGCACAGGTGATCAAATACCACCAAAAGAAAGCTCTATTTGTGTGAAAAAAAGGACGTAAATTTTGTTTGGATATAGCATTGCATGACCGCGCAATTATCATTTGAATTAGTGCAGCGCCAAACAGCAAAAAAAGGCCTGGTCATTAAGGGGGGTAAATCCTCTGGGGCTCAAGTGGTTAAAGTAAAAGTGGTTAACTTTTAACTATTACATAGCAGAAGCAAGTGCTGTTAGTACAAAGAAATAATTGGTTACTTTTCATGCCTTGACCAAAGCTAGATTTAAAGGATGAGTGGCTGCAGTTCTATAGCACGTAACTGACACACACACAACTATACATTTGATTATCTAGACAAAATATAAAATAGAGAAGCAAAATGGAGTATATATAAAAATAAACAGAATGTAGGGCGAGGAACATACATTTCCCTTCAGCGGGTACTTGTCAAATTCGGGTACCCGCCCCCCCTCCCCGCTCCCCAAAGGTCTGCAGTCTCTGGTCATCTTCTGTACTATGTCCGCAGTCTCTGGTCATCTTCTGTACTATGTCTGCAGTCTTTGGTCATCTCCTGTACTGTGTCCGCAGTCTCTGGTCATCTTCTGTACTATGTCTGCAGTCTCTGGTCATCTCCTGTACTATGTCCGCGACATCTGGTCATCTTCTGTACTATGTCCGCAGTCTCTGGTCATCTTCTGTAGTATGTCCACAGTCTCTGGTCATCATCTATACTATGTCTGCAGTCTCTGGCCATACCCTGCAGTCTCTGGTCATCTTCTGTACTATGTCTGCAGTCTTTGGTCATCTCCTGTACTGTGTCCGCAGTCTCTGGTCATCTCCTGTACTATGTCCGCAGTCTCTGGTCATCTCCTGTACTATGTCTGCAGTCTCTGGTCATCTCCTGTACTGTGTCTGCAGTCTCTGGTCATCTCCTGTACTGTGTCTGCAGTCTCTGGTCATCTCCTGTTCTATGTCCGCGACATCTGGTCATCTTCTGTACTATGTCTGCAGTCTGATCATCTCCTCTACTATGTCCGCAGTCTCTGGTCATCTCCTGTACTGTGTCTGCAGTCTCTGGTCATCTCCTGTTCTATGTCCGCGACATCTGGTCATCTTCTGTACTATGTCCGCAGTCTCTGGTCATCTTCTGTAGTATGTCCACAGTCTCTGGTCATCATCTATACTATGTCTGCAGTCTCTGGCCATACCCTGCATTATGTCCACAGTCTCTGGTCATCTCCTGTAGTATGTCCGCAGTCTCTGGTCATCTCCTGTAGTGCATCCGCAGTCTCTGGTCATCTCCTGTACTATGTCCACAGTCTCTGATCATTTCCTGTACTATGTCTGCAGACCATTGGTTCAGAATATTTTTTTTCTTGTTTTCCTCCTCTAAAAATCTAGGTGAGTCTTATGGTCAGGTGTGTCTTATGGAGCGAACAATACAATACATTTTATGTAATGCTTTTTCTTAGACCCATATGAGGAAGGCCAATAATAATGGCCATTGTCATCTAGTAATCCAGTCTTTAGTCTGCCCAAAAGTTTTCTTTTACTCTGAGAGCATTATAACAATGTTATGACCTTGTGCTATGATATTACAAATCTGCACTTGCTATTGCACCACTCTCAATGTGAGTTTAAGTCCCCCTTATGTTATTGTACATGGAAATGTTTATTGTGCCCCAATTATAGGATCTCAAAGACTGTTCATAAATAAACATGGTGCTATAGCAGACTTCCCACCAAATGTCAATGACCCAGTTTACTAAATCCATAGTAGTCTCTCTGGATCCTCACTGCCTAGGATTATGGTATTTGACAGCTTAGTGAATAAGGCAAAGGAGAAGAATATTTTGCTCCTGATGTCCCTGTTTCTCCTAAACTCTAACCTAAAGCTTTCTTATAACTGCATGAAAGGTCATGTTTTTTTTATTTCTAGTCTGTTTATTTTTAAAGTGTCAAGCAGGGCATTCCTGTTATGAGACAAGGCAAGTGGAATGCAAGACGTGGACTGCATGACAGGAAGTTTCCATCTTGTCACATGACCCCCAATTGACTGTTGCTTTTAAAGTGAACCCGACTTGGCCTAAAAAGTGTTCACGGTAACAACAGAGCTGAAGTGCTGCCATCTCATGCTTCCTGCATATACATGTAATGGTCTTTAACCACTTCAAGTAAGGACACTTTCACCTCCTTTCAGTCCAAGCCAAATTTCAGCTTTCAGCGCTGTTACACTTTGAGTGACAATTACTCATTCAACACTGTACTTATATGGAATCTTTATCATTTTTTGAGACAAATAGAGCTTTCTTTTGGTGGTATTTAACCACCACTGTGTTTTTTTTTTTTTTGTTATATAAATTTAAAAAAACTAATTTTTTTGCTTAGTTTTTGTTATAAAATGTTGCAAACAAATAATCTTTCTTCATAAATTAAGGTCAAAATGTATTCTGCTATATTTTTGGGTATGGCAGTGATCAGGACATTGGTATGAAGTATGGGTGGTGATCAGAACGCTGGTATGGCAGTGATCAGGATGCTGGTATGAGGTATAGTGGTGATCAGGACACTAATATGGTGTATGGCAGTGATCAGGATGCTGGTATGCCATATGGGGTGATCAGGATGCTAGTATGGGTTATGGCGGTGATCAGGATGCTGGTATGGCATATGGTTTGATCAGGATGCTAGTGTGGGGTATGGCGGTGATTAGGATGCTGGTTTGGGAGTAATCAGGTTGCTGGTATGGTGTATGGCGGAGATTAGGGCGCTTGTATGGCATATGGCGGTGTTTAGGGAACTAGTATGGTGTATGGCGGAGATTAGGGCTCTTGTGTGGCGTATGGCAATGATCAGAGTGCTGGTATGGTGTATGGTGGTGATCATGGTGCTGGTATAGTATATGGCAGTGATCAGGATGCTGGTATGATGGTGATCAGGTCCTTGGTATGGTGTATGGCAGTGTTATTGTGAGCGCTGGAACAAGTGACAGGTGCTGGCTGCATTATTTATTATGACTACACTGGGGCAGTGATCAGGAGCACTGGGGTGGCTTGCACTGCAGTCTGTGAGAGTACATGCACTGTGACTGGCTGTTGTACACTCACAGGCTGCAGCATCGGCTCTCTCTGCTCTCAGACTGAGTGCAGGGAGAACTGATGCTTACTTTCACTTTGCATTGTTAACTATTTGATTGCTGTGATTGGACACAGCAATTACATGGTAAAACACCATGTGATCACCCAGACACAGCGGTAATGTGATCCTCTGTGTCCGTGTGACACATGGATCACTGTGCTCTGTGAGCCATGCAGGAGCCGCCGATGCGGGCGGTCATATGCTTCCTATCCACCATTTATAGGCTATGGGTTGATGGGAAGCAGTTAAATGAATCCTTGTTTTCCTGTAGAGCCCCCTGAATACCAGGCCGAGGCTCAGGGCTTTGACTTATCTTCAAGTTTAGATTTAAAGCCTAAACCACTGAACAGACTGACCTTGTGCTAGGTACACACAAGGAGTTATTTCTTTCATTCAACACAGCGGGCTTAATGAAAAAACTGAGAGGTCGTTGTACTAACTAAGCAATGTTAGTGTAGCGATCTCCCCCACTGAGCTTTTGTGCCCCCCCCCCCCCCCCCAGAACACAGTGATCACAGCTCACAGCCATTGGCTTCAAGTGCTGATTGGATGTTGGTTTTCCAGCATGCCTAATAGATACAAAGCCATTTGTTAGACCAGCTTCTGTCGGACAGGCTGCACACAGCCCGAATGTCGGCTGGTTTCTCTTTAACCGGTTGATACTAGCCAATATTCAGCCCATGTGTTCCAGCCTTTAGTTTAATGAAAAGTTTTAAAAAAAAATTAGCAAACGGGACATTAGTTACAGTCAATGACAAGTGTTCCATGTGCTGCTGGCTGAGATTTTAGCTGAAATTTTCAGTCCTCCGATACCCCCCAGTGGTAACAGTCCAGTGCTGTGGGGGTCAAATTGAGCTGAGAGATCTGTCATATGCACTCATCAAGAGTGCCGACTTTGTCTGTCCTTTTCATCCACCTCCTCCATTCATAGAAGTTGTAGTATAGCTTCCATGAATGAAAGGAGATCTATGAATGGACAACAGGTGGAGCATTTTCCTTTTACTTCCTGCTTTTCTACAGTACAAGATATTAAAGCCCAACCCTGGGATATATGAAAATCCTCCCTTGCTAAGCTCTGCTGGCTTCAATTATTCAATCATATTCAAGCCAAAAAATTTGACACCACATTTACTTTCATTTTTACATTCACATTTACTCTAGGGAAAATTCCCATGCAAAGTGCAACTTCCCCTGCAAAGTGAATAGCCTTTTTGCCTTTTTTTAGCATTTCAAAACTATATTAAGACTCATCCCCTCATGTTTTGCATTGTATTGGTATTGTTCTGTCACATGTTCTGTCCCCTTTGTAATGTACAGCGCTGAGCGAACTATTGGCGCTTTATAAATACTGTATAATAATAATAATAATTATTGAAAGAGTCTGAGAAAGTAATGTGCCATTCCTTGGTGCAAGTAGAGACTTTGCCTATTGCAGCATATATTATGGATATTCATACCCCAGATACTTGTAAGAAAGTGTATACTGTTTTATGTATGCCTAAGAATAGCCTTTGCATTCATTTCCTTAGTGAAACAAATGTTACAAAAGCTGAAAAGCATTATGCAATCTGTCAAGCTAAAATATAGACTTTGCAATATCCTGGGGAAATAAATCTCTTAACTGTCTGACCTTGGCACACTGAAGTAATCTAAAACAAATCTAACACTTGACTACACATGACATCATTGAGTAAAACCAGGGAGCATGTTCTGCTTTTACAACATGCACTTTCCATTGTGTTTTATAAAGGTTAATGTACAATGAGGTTACCAGGAAGTCTGATGTAAGGAAGCCTTCCCATGGCCAGTCTTACAATAAGGATTTCATGGACCAGTGTGGAGGCAGAAAGGTAAGAACATACAATTTGCTATTTTCTTCTAAAACAAATGTCAAGACTACAGAATGAAGACATGCAGCGATCATTCATAACATTATGACCACCTACCTAATATTAAATAGGTTCCCCTTTTGTCACCAAAACAACCCTGACTCATCAAGGCGTGGACCCCAATAGACAAAGCCTCACACTGCCTCTGCATGCTTCTTCCCATAGTGCATCCTGCTACCTTCCCCAGTTCAGCGACGAGCACCCCCCCTGCCATCCACATAATGTATAAGAAAATGTGATTCATCAGACCAGGCCACTTCTCCATTTCTCCGTGGTCCAGTTCTGATGCCCATTGTAGGTACTTTTGGCTGTGGACATGGGTCAGCATGGGCACCCTGACTGGTCTGTGGCTACTCAGCCCCATACGCAACAAACTTCTGACACCTTTCTGTCAGAATCAGCCTTAACTTTTTCAGCAATTTGAGCTACAGTTAATCTTCTATTCGGTCGGACTACAAGGGCCAGCCTTTGCTTCCTTTGTGCATCAATGAGCCTTGGCCGCCCATGGCCCCGTTGCTAATTTTCCCATTTTCCTTCACTGGATAACTTTTGGTAGGTCTTGACCATTGCAGACTGGGAATATCCTACAAAAATTGAGGTTTTGGAGTTGCTCTGA